AGCCTAAAGAACGAACCTTTGAAATATTTTAAGTTCATAAACCTAAGGGTTCAGCTAAATCCATAAAGTTCAATAAGCCTAAGGGCCGAACATTATAAATCTTATATGCTCATAATCCTAAGGGTCAAACTAAATCCATAAAGTTCAACAAGCTTAAGTCCGAACTTTATAAATCGTATATTCTCATAAACCTAAAGGTCGAGCTAAAACCTATTGGTTCAATAAGCTAAAGGGCTGAACCTTTGAAATATTATAAGCTCATAAACCTAAGGGTCGAGCTAAATCTATAAAGTTCAAACAAAAATCTTGGGCTAACCACCATGCAATTGTTTTTTTTTTTTTTCAATTAGGTTTTATTTGACATCAAAGTTATATTATTCAATTCATTATATTTTATGGGGTTTATCACTATTTATTACTTAGGAGTTTTTATTATCAGCTAAGAGGTATTGGGTTTTAGTCTTAAATATGTATTGACTTAGGCGTTAGGGTGTAAATGAGTCAAGTTGAGCTTGAGTCAGAGGGTGTTCAAGTCGATCTCAGCTATCAATTACTAAGCTCGAAACTCGGGTCAAGCTCAAAAGTTAAGGTCGAGCTTGACTCTTTCCAATGTAAATGAATTTGAGCCGCTCGTCGAGACTCTGGTGTAAGTCTAGTTTGGCTTCCCAAATCTCAAAATTCGAAGTTCCGTGGTTCTCGAAATATGTGTGCAATTTTTTTAAAAATGATAACAGCACACAGAGAGAGAGAGAGAGAGAGAGTTTTGGGTTTTGTCAAAGAGAGTTTTTAGCATTTATTACTGTCAGAGAGAGAATAAAGAGATGCAAATGACTGAGATTTGATAATAACTTTGAATTCTCGAAATACATGACAGACGAAATTTAAAATGTAGGCAGGATTGTGATTTATCTAGCATTTATTACTAATTTTTAAAATATTTGAATTTAATAATTTTGAGTCGGCTTGCGAGCTCTTGAGCCGAACCTAATCATGCATGAACTCAAGGTCTTGGCCCAATAAACTTGGCACTTTAGCTCTTAAATGAGCCGATATCGAGCCGGGTCGCGAGCCTGCTCGGCTTACTCACACCCCTGCTTAGGGGTGTCAAAATAGGGTTGTGGTTCGGGTTCAGCTCGAAACCATTATTGATCCGCTACTATTTGACACAACCCAAACTCGACTTTTTTTTACATATACGTCAGAAATTTTAACCTCAACTTGACTCATTGGGTTTCCGAGTTGACTCGATTCGACACAAAACCCTATGTTAATGGGTTGACTCGGACCACACCCGATTCTTCAAACGGGTCAAAATTTGGAACTCGAACTCAACCCGTTTGCCAAACAGGTTGACCTGGAATTTTCGGATTAGGTTGGAGTCGGGTTTTCATGTCATGTTAAATATTGACACATCTATGCATTGTGTATGAGTTTTTTTTTTAATTTTATTTATTTATTTATTTTTTGTGTACAAGTTTATCTTAATTGCCCTAATGTCCAAAAAAAATCATTATATTTTTAACTAAATAATTTATTTTACTCCTAGATATTGTGTTTGATTGATATTTTTTCATTATATGGTCCAAATTTGTCTATTTTTTTATTATATTTTGCTTGTTTTGGGAAACAATGCCTACCATAGGAGTTATTTATTAATTTTAATTTTTTTATAAATAAATTATAAGTATAATTTATTTTTTTAATTTTAAGTATTATTTAAATAAGTTTTTAATTATAATTGTATCTATAATTTTCTATTTAATCAATTATTCTATTTCTTCAACACTAATGATCTAATTATTATTTATAGTTAAATTGTATTAAGTAAGTTAATTTGATTAATAATTAAAATAAGGTATTCATATCTTGTTGCTTGTCTAGGGTTTGCTTTTTCTATTCTCAATTTCGTTGTTGCTGTTCTGCTTTACGTGAGGTAGAGTTTTCAACGAGTCGCTAGCTTCGCCTCCTTCAACGAATTTCTCTTCCCGTCGGATCGGAAGTCACAAAATTTTGATCGCCATTAGATCGGAAGTAAAGACTGGAGCTCGCTCGCTGCGAAGATAACGATCTTTCACCCTTTCGCACACCTCTTCGGCTTTATCCCATAAATCCGCCGACCTATCGGATTTACCATATCCAGGATTTAGGGCAAAAATGTCCAAAATGCAGTTAAGTGGAGCATTTACCGTGATATTTTACTTTGCATTTTTTTGGATTTTGCAGGATTTAGCACAAACCCTGCATCCAAAGAGGCCCTGGGCATCTCCAACCGAACTCTATACACTTGTTTGCAGTCACATGCCTGCTCCTCCCGAACCGCATTCCAGTCCAAAATTTTGCGTCCGTGAACAGTGCCACGCCAATATTGCGTCGCATGACTCATTGGGTTGTTGCACCAAGTTCTTTTGTTGTGTCCATTATTAGTTTTTAATTGCGAGTGCTTATCTATTTTATTGAGTGTTGATGCTGTAATGCATTGCCTATTCAAATCTTCCATGGTTGAGTTCTCATATATTTGATTGAGAATGATGAGGCATTAATTGGGATGGAACCAATGTAGAGCTCAGGGAGGGCATTGCCCAACATAGAATCTTTTTTCTTATAAAAATAAACATTTTAACTATTTTGCTCACGGTTAATAAATGCAATTTCCCTAATTCTAAGAAAAAATTCCTTTTTCTATTTTATTCTTAAGATTATACATTTCATATCCTATTTTGTCCACCCTAAAAAGAGATGCTAGTTCCACCCCTGCTTCAAAGATGCATGATATTCGCAAGTAACTTATGATTCCATTTTTTTTTATTAGGGCATGATTCCATTTTTTTTATTAGGGCTAGATCTTGAGAGGACATCGTGAAAGCTTTTTATCTTTGTCTATGCTTGAGTGCAGGAGTTGTCTTTGGATATCTCTTTATTGAAGCTCCATGCAAAACATTAGTAATTCAGAGGATTTCCCTATGTTTCTTATTTTTGTGATCTCGAATCTTTGGTGTGTGTACATGCACGTACTTACAAACATAAATACATGCATACATAGATATATGCATACATATATGCATGATATACTACTTGCAATCAAGTTGCCCTTAACTTGTAAAAATATTGGATTGATGTGGACAACGAGGAGAAATATCTGGATGTTGAGATATTTTTACAATTAATCGCTGATAGTTATAGTTGTCATTTGTTTTCCTCAGTAATGTAATCATTGTGATTTCTTTTGGAAGAATTCTGCTGGTGATTGCCAACAAATGACCGACCTTCTGGAAACCAAGTTTGTTATATTCATTTTGCAATGTCGAACATGAAGGATGGCCTGAATATCCTGAGGCAATCAATGCTCTGATTTTTCCCTATTTATGCTTGAGGTGAGAGGACCTTTAGAAAGCTGCTTATTTATTGTTGGAATTAAGTAGTCATATGACCCTCTCTTTCTCTTTCTTTCATGAAGCCCGGTGCACTAACAATGCTATATATATATATGTTTTTTGAATGATTTTTTTTTTACTAGAAACTTGCTTTAGAAAGTAGTAAGAAAGCTGCTGAAATTCGTAATAAAGCTGTCCCAAATAAAGCCTAAATAATATTTTATCCCTAGGTTTCTTATTTTTTTGATATGGAATCTCTGGATATCCTACAACTTATTTGGCAATGACAACCGCCATTAAAATGGGGATTCATACGTAGCTATATGTATAAAGCTTCTCTTCTTGCCTAATTTAATGGATTTCGCTGTCATCCCCCTATCCCTATTATTGGTCTCTCATTATTCTTTACTTTTGGAATTTACTCAGTTCTTTTGGGCTCTAGATGTTTCGTAATGAGCAGGGTAGGATGCATTATTCTATCTAAAGTTCAAATGACATTCCTGTTTTGAGTATTTGTAGATTTATTTTTATAGCGGATCAACATATTATATTGTTGTGGAAGAAGCATGACTCATTGGGTTGTTGCAAGAAGTTCTTTTGTTGTCTCTTTTATTTATTTTTTATTGCCAGTGCTTATCTATTTTGTTAAGTGTTGATGCGGTATGCATTGCCTATTCAAAAATTTCATAGTTGAATTTTCATATCTTTAATTGAGAATGATGAGGCATCAATAAGGGTGGAACCAAGAGCAGCTCAAGGCGGGCAATTATTCAACCTAAAACCTTTTGAGGGTGGACATAGTAGGATTATGAATTAACATTTTAATTATTTTGTTCACCTTCAATCAATGCAATTGTTTATATTTTATTATGTATTTCATAATATAATGTGTGATAAACTGATTGCCAACTAGTGACTGATCTTCTGGAAATCAAGTTTCTTATACTCATTTTGCAATGTGGAACATCAAGGATGGCTTGAAAATTCTCGGGCAACCGATGTTCTGATTTTCCCTTTTATGTTTGAGGTGAAAAGACCTTTAGAAAGCTGCTTATTTATTTATTTATTGTTGGAATTAAGTAGTCATATGTCCCACTCTTTCTCTTTCTTTCATGAAACATGGTGGTATATATATGCACACACATACATGCATATATAGATATATGCATACATATGTGTATGATATACTACTTGCAATCAAATTGTCCTTAATTTTGTAGTTCTCTTTTTTTTCCCAGTAATGACATTGAGATTTTTCTTGGAAGAATTCTTTTGGTGATTGCCAACAAGTGACTGATCTTCTGGAAATCAAGTTTCTTATACTCATTTTGCAATGTCGAACATCAAGGATGGCCTGACAATTCTAAGGCAACAGACGTTCTTATTTTCCCTATATATGGTGAGAGGACCTTTAGAAAGCTGCATAGTTATTTATTTATTGTTGGAATTAAGTAGTCATATGACCCTCTCTTTCTGTTTCTTTCATAAAGCACGTTGCAGTAATAATGGTATTTATACACACACATGTATGTATGATGTACTAATTCCATCAAATTGCCTTTTAACTTGAAAAATTATTGGATTGGTGTGGACACTGAGAAGAAATATCTGGATGGTGAGATATTTTTACAATTAATCGCTGATAGTTATGGTTGTCTTTTATTTTCCTGAGTAATGTAATCATTGAGATTTCTCTTGGAAGAATTCTGTTGGTGATTGCCAACAAGTGACTGATCTTCTAGAAATGAAGTTTCTTATACTCATTTTGCAATGTCGAACATCAAGGATGGCTTGAAAATTCTAAGGCAATCGGTATTCTGATTTCCGTATTTATGCTTGAGATTATACTATTAGAGGACCTTTAGAAATTTGTTTATCTATTTATTTTTTGTTGGAATTAAGTAGTTATATGGACCTCTCTTTCTCTTTCTTTCGTGAAGCACAGTGCAGTAACAATGGTGTATACATATATGTCGATCTTGTTCACGAGCTTCAAATGATGTTGTTTGTGAACATAAATGAAATGGACACATTCGTGTTCAAGCTTGTTTATATAAAAATTGTGTATTAAAAATGTAGTTCAAGTTTGTTTGTTGGGTTAGTTAAACGATCACAAACGAGATTTAATCGAACCGAGCAACGATTAGCTCGTCGAACATTTGGTTTGCTTGCGAGGGTCTAATACTAGCAACTCAAGTGACGCGACATCTCCTTATTCATTACCTTATAAAGTCAAGAGTCTGCGTCTCCATTCTAATTTTTATGCATTAAAATTGAAATTGCACTGATGGGGGATAATGTTTTTCATTTACAAATGGAAATCATATATGTTGCCTCACCTGCACCATGAAATATATTTTAAATGGCCTAATCATATGGCTTTTTTCAAGATTAGTGACATTCCCAATATGTAGTAGTGTGCTGAGATTATCTCGTTTATGAGTGAAAAGTTGTGAGGGCAATGATGGTGATGATTTAGAGTTTAGAATTCAACCATTGATTACACATGGAAATTATGAAATATTGCTATGTTTCCCATGATATGGCATGTCTGGATGGCCTGGAGCATCTCCGGCAACCACATCTTCCATTGCATGGGAATTAAAGTGTTGCAAGGCTCTTCTACTTATCTTATGTCAGGGTTTCATTATCATCTAAGCCTTCATTTTTTTTGTTCGTTTTTTCTTCTTCTTCTCCAACTTGTTATTCTTGCTCATTACTCTTGAAGCTTAGTTATTTTAGTTGTTGTGCCTAGCTCCCTAATTATTTATTCACTAATAAAGTCATCTCCAACTTCTATTGCTATGACTGTGACAGTATATCCATCATCAATTCTCACTGCTTAGCATTGCTATGTTTCTCTGGCTATTAGATGATGAATTTCTTTTGGAGAGGCGACGACAATTATTGCTAACCATTGACAATTTGGTTATGTTTGATTCTTACTCTACTCTATTAATGAGGCATCAAGGATGGCATGAACCTAATTCTATTTAGCTGTTTACCTGCTTGTTTTAACTTTGTGTCATATTCTTTGCAGCAGTAGGAGCAGGAGGCATTTGTTTTTGAACAAGCTTTGCAATCACATTATTGTTGTTTGTTTTTTAGTATTTTTAGTATAAACCGATATATGTTTGCAAAAATATGCTTTTGCAATCTCTACTTGCCCTTTTTTATGAGGTGGTGAGCAGTATGATGAAAGTTTTAATCTACTGCTGAATATTCTTATTTCTCAACGAAGTAAATATGTCAAACAAATTTTATTGTCGGTCATAAGTGGTGTATCCTATATTAGTGGTTTATTTCATCATGGGCATCATTTTTTGGGATTTTATTGTTTTTATTTATGATGGGTGGCGCTGCCTTTATGTTGGATTCAAGAAATTTAGCTTGTGATGTTGAAAATAATGCTATTGCTCTTTATATCTCTATGTATGTTAGTTTCATTTTTTATGCATTGGTGATTGATCAAAAAGGTTTTCAAAGGGAAACCTGCAGTGCCGCCTCTATCTTCATCACTCAATACCTCGGAGTATGTCAGTTGTGATATATATATTAAGTCCTTCAAAAATAAAAATAAATTACTTTGAAACTAGGCTCTGAAATAATTTTTTTTAGAATTTTAATTATTTGTTCACTTTTAATATTAAATTATTATTTTATTGAATATTATACCAAAAAAATAATAATGCTTTTAAAATTAAAGAAAAAAACTTTTTTAAAATTTGATTCAAATAATTACCTTAAGGTGATTATTTTAGATTAGGGGTAATGTAATATGTTTTATTTCTTTTGGATAATTCTAACAACCTAATATTTGAATATTTGGTTAATTTCTAGGTAATTCCAATTCAAAAAAAAAAAAATCCAACTAACCCTTATTTTGATCTCTTTCAAATTATTAAATAGCTTGAACCTTTTCATATTATAATTTTTTTTATTGTGTAAAATCAATTTTAAAATTATATATTATTAAATCTCAAAAGTTTTAGATTAGGGGCAATGAAGCACAGTGCAGTAACCATGATCTAAGCTATTTGAATATGAACAATGGGGGATGGCTAGTGAACAAATTACAACTAACCTAGCATTTAATGTAATTTTGTATATTGTTCCTTTTTCTTTATTTTTATTTCGTGCATGTGTAGGATTACACACACCACTTAGTTTAGGAACTTCTTAATTTAATGACATGAGTGCTATATTTGTGTACTTGCATATGTGATGTGAAAGGGTTAGTGATTTTGATTCAATTCTACACAACTTAGAAACACCTTTAAGGATAAAAATTAAGAACTTGCATAGAAAACTTAAAAATTTGTTATAATTAGGATGTATCTTCCCTTGACTTGAGACTTTGAAAAAATAAACTTAGTAATATCACCCACCCATACAAATTATTTCACTAATGTTTGGTGATCATTAGGCTTTCTAATCAATCTATTTAGAATTAATCCCTTAATTAACCCTTTAGCCTTAATAAAAGTCTAATAAAGGGGGGCTAAATAATTAAAATTCAATTATAAAAATTCCTGCACACGTGCTTCAGTTGCTAAGTCCCCCAAGTAATAAAAAGATTATGACCAGTGTGTTTATTTATTTATTTACATACATATAACTGCTTGGAAATATTTTTGATTTATTAACTACTTAGGATAACCCTGCCGGAGAGTCTAGAATTTTTTTTTATTTATATACAAATGTAATTTGTGCAAGTGTTAAGTGCTGTGAAAGTGTAGTTTTGAGTTGAGATACATATGTCCAAATCTTGGATTCCGAAGAGAAAATGACACCCCTTAGGGGAATGGTCCTTTTCTATTTAAAAATCCAAATTTGGATCACTACCACCTTACCCAAAGAGGAAAGAGTGACCTTCCCTTCAAAGGAAGTGCCCTCTTATCCATTTGGGCAGCCTACTACGAAGAATCGAAGGAGCTTAAAGAAAAGGAGCCTGAAGGAGAATAAGATTGAAGATTTGAAGACAAGGAGTATCTCGCTCAAAACCACTTGCATCTTTATTAGGTTTAGAATTTTGATTATTGTCAGTGGTGCCCGACCACTTTACTTTCTATAAAATCCTGGTTTGTAATAAGCAAGGTAACTTCGCCTATGGACATTTATTAATTAATTTATTTATATTTGATGTGTTGAGATGATTGCGTATATAATTATCTACTTTTTTAGGTTCTGCACTACATTAGTTAGGTTAGGATGACTGTGGTCCAGCATCCAAAATTAGATTTAGAATTCGGGGCATATCTTTGATTATAAGACCTCAACCTTTGGGAATATAATCCTAAATTTTTAGTAAAATGCTCAATTTTAATTAAATATCATTTCAACCCAAAATGTGAAGCACAACATTCAGATTAAGTTGGGACACTTCTGGATGGTTATGGAATCTCAAAGTGTCCCCTAATTTTTTTTCCTTGGTACTGTTAATAACTGCTCAACCTTGCTCCAATCCCTTTTGAGATTCAAAAATTCACCTCTTTTTTGATATCACTCCTAGAAAACCCAACAAAATTGTCACTATTTTAATCAAGAGTCTTTGTGAGGGACTCTACTCCCTATGATGTAATTAATTTCAAGGGCTTGCACTTGTTGGAGATTTAAAACCACATACACTTGATTTTCAAAACTCACTCAACACTTCTTTTGGGAGATATACTTCATAACGATCATTATTATCATAGTTATATGATCATTAACATACAATATTCTCTTTCTCCAAAAGGGATCTATCGTGTGTTAATATCAAGTTTGAAATGAAATTAACTATCTCCTTATCTTAATTATCATGCCTCGATTTTAGATTAAATCTCATTTTTACCCTCATAGGGTCATATGCTGTTGTCCTTTAAATCAGGATACGATTGCTAAGAGAAAATTTATAATTTTGGAACTAAACCTATTAGGAGATTTTATCTCGCCTTTCGAGGTAATATATTATCACCAATGGTCCCTTCAGCTCCAGAATTAAAATCTAAATATAATTCCAAGTTTCCCAAAAGAAACATTTGAGGCTCAAATTAGTATTCTTTGGAAAAAAAATTAACCAACGACGATCGCTATCGTCAAGCCCGAATAACTACTGAATAGTGGTATTTTCTCACTTTGGGGAGATATTATTTTTTCATAAGGTTTTGGGCATGAAATCAATGATAATCTACTTAGGATACCATAATTAGGAATTAGAACGAACTCCATTTTGACCCTTTGAGGTCATATGTGGTTTATCTCAGATCTAGTTATGATATTCAAAGTAGGACTTATAATTTTGGATTTTAATCATATTTTAAATTTTAATCTCCACTTTTTGAAGTGGTATAATTTTTCTAATAGGACGTTCAATCTTAAAATTCGAGTCTAAAAGTTTATTTCAAAAATTTAAAGAAAATTAAGCATTTCAAAACATGTTTTCAAAATTCCACCAATAAAAAATGGCATGCCCGGGGGGACTTAATCTCTCTCTCCATCTCTAATAGAGACAAAATTTCGTTTCATCAGTAGTCTTAACTAGCTTTTCTTCTGATGGTCCCTCTACCCATTTCTTTCTTGGGTGAGTGTGGCCAACATCTAAAATAAAATATATATTTACCTCCAATTTTTTTTTTTAGTTAAATATTGATTCTCATTTTGACCTTCTACCCCCGGGCCAACCAGTAGGGTGATAGTGTCAAACCAGATTTTTGAGATATCCTTTTCAATTCTACGAATTTATGTTGATGATTTCTGATTCAATACATAAATTCTTAAGATTGAAAGAAATTTTAGATATCTTAATTTTCGTATTTAAAACACCTTAGCCTTAACCCCTCACCCCTTTTCTTTTTACCCTTAAAGGTGGGGAGAGTTAGGCAACCCACTTTACTTGAGCTTTCTCATAATTTCATAAGCCATCGGGCTAGGGGAAATTTTGCCCGTTGTGTTTTGGAATTTGCGAGAAGCCCACCTTAAATCTCATAAAATTCAAATCTTTTTAAACTCTCTTTAAATCTCAAGTCATTATATGTTACCCCACAGTATCCTCCTGTGGGCTAGCATGTGCTATGAAGTTTGATTCTTCCCTAGCACATATCTGATCTCTTTACCCTACTAATATGTGTTGAGCAACAATTTATACTACTTAGCATGTATTGGAGGGTTGAGATTTTTTTATGAGCCTTGATCTTCTAAGAGAAAAATTATTTTCCTTTAAAAAAAAATCTAATTCCAATCCTTTCTTTAAATTTCAGAAAATTTCAAATGGCCGAAAAATTAATCTTCTCTTTCGACCGAGAGCTGTCCTCAACAGTTAATGATCAAGGAAGCACTATAATTTTTGGGATGGGATTCAATACCCTTGAGTTGTCCATGGATGAACACAAGATAGTTGACTTCGATGACAGTAAGGAAGTTTCTCCAGTGGTTGAGTTGATTATGGGATCTGCACCCACCTTACCAGTAAATAGTGATGAACAGAAACAGTCTGAACCAGTTGTTGAGGTGCCCATTGAAGTTAAGTCTATTTTTAAGGAAGGGTCTAGTTCTATACTTACTTTTGCTACTAAGAACAAGAGAAAGAACTATCTGAGGAGACTTAAAAAGAAGATCTCTAAAGCAAAGAGAGTCATTCCTTTTAAGACCTTAGCCTAAGTAGAGCCCGAGGCTGCGAAGGAGCTGCATATTCCTGGTTCCTCTCCCCTCCTCAAGGGGAGTTGCTTTTCATCCCTTGCTGCTGCTCAGGGGAATGAGAGGGCGGCTAGGATAGCTCATTCCCCATCATGCCCAGTTGACTATTCAACAAAGAAGACTCCAAAGGAGAAGCACCTCCAGAGGAGAAGAATATTATGGAACATAATCTACACCTGTACTGCACAATCTGGGCTAACCAAAGAGGAGTATGTTTTGAAACAGTTAAAAGGAGTTATCTCCCATCATTTTTAGAAGGAGTTCTTAAAGAAGAAGTGTTTGAAACAAAGAACTTAACACCTTAGCCTGTTTGGAGAAATAAGAAGTATGTCCGACAACCTGTCACTTCAGTACTAGTTGACGGGTATCACTGGGTGCCACACCTTCCATCTTCTAAAATGGAAGGTATTGTGTTGATTGGGTTCGAGAGAGGCCACCGTCCTGCTGGTAGACCCTTGGTACCCCCTCCTAGACCCCTAAAGTTGGCCTTAGTGATCGTCAAGCCAAAGGAGGCTGAGATTCGAAGACCTGTAGATGTTAAGGGCAGAGGCCCAAGTCCCCTGAGAAAAGATTTGTGCCTAAGAGAACAAAGTTGGAGATCTTGCCACCACCTCCTAGAACTTCTAAGTTTAT